TTTTAAACTTTTCAAAGGTTTCAGATTTGTGCTTTAAAAGAAACACCCACACCTTTCTTGAAAAGTCATCTATTATAGAGAGGAAATACTTATTCCCCCCCGGAGTAGTTGTGGAGGCTGGACCCCACAAATCAGAGTGGACATATTCCAATGGAGAGGTAGTTTTATGTTTTCCAGAATTAAAATGGAGTCTGTGATGTTTGCCAAAGGTGCAACTTTCACAGAAGGGTATTTTTGATATTTGGTCCTTACCAAATACCCCCCCTTTTTGTAGAATTGTGAGGCCTTTTTCACCCACATGTGCAAGCCTCTTATGCCATTTTAAGGTGGGATCAGATTCAGTATTAGAGATAGTTGCATTTTGTTCAAGTATTATTCCAGCTCTAACTACATAGATTCCATTTTTCTTAACACCCTTAAAGATGACAAGAGATCCCTTGATCACTTTCATCAATCCATCTCCAATCCTACCACACAGCCCTAGGTCATCTAATTCTCCCATAGATATCAGATTTCTTTTGAGTTCAGGGACATATCTGACTCTCTCTAGGGTATACATGTATCCATTTTCAAAATTTAGGGTCACATTTCCTAACCCTTCAACTCTGCAGGCTATATTATTTCCCATCACTACTTCACCACCAGCTAGCCTCTTAAAATCTTGAAGCCAAGCCCTTTCATGTGTAATATGAAAGGTGCAGCCTGAGTCCAAAATCCACTCATGTACATATCTGTTGTGGGCATAATTAGCCACTTCCAGGTCAGGTTGCTGAGCCACCACATATACATCAACTGTATTAGGCTCAGCAGGCTCAACTACATTCCCCTCATCAACATTCTTCTCTTTAGGTTCAATTTTCTTGTTATAGCAGTCTTTTATGTAATGACCGAGCTTACCACAGCCATAGCACTTTCTGTTATTTCTAGATTTTGATTTAGATCTTGATTTACTCCTGAACTTCTTCCTATTACTGTTTTCAGGATTGTTTTGATTTGGATAGTTATTATTTTGCCGATTTGGTTGCCTTTCCCTTATGTACAAACTCTCATGTTCCTTCCCATGTTTTTCAGTTTTAAGTTCCAATTCTTTACTTCTTATGGAATTTATAACAACTTCTGGAGTTAAAGTATCTCTGCCATACTTAATGGCAGATTTGACGTCCCTATATGCATCGGGTATAGCATTAAGAAGTATTACTGCTTTATATTCTTCAGAAATTTTATCCCCTGTATTGGTGATATCTTGTACCAATTTATTAAAGATATCAAGATTATCATCCAGGTCTTTGGTTGGATCAATCTTAAAACTAAAAAACCTTTCTAGAAGGAAGAGTTTATTTGTAAGGATTTCACTAAGTATAATTCCTCTAATTTCTCCCATAAGGCCTTAGCATTTTCTAATTTCCCTACTTTCCTTAGAACTTGGTCAGATAGGTGGAGAATAATTGAGGTATAGGCTAAATCATCTGATTCAGTTTTCTGATCTTGTGTCATTGTTTCAGGAAACTCTCCTGTTATTGCCTTAGAGACTTTCTGTTGTACTAAAACCCCTCTCATTTTTTGCTGCCATATAGGAAAATCTCCCTTCCCATTAAAGACCCCAAGTTCAAAACTAGTGGAAGTCATTTTCTAGATCAAACAAGTCACACTCAGTAATTTCTGATTTGATCATAACATACAGATGAGAAACAGAGATTCTTCATAACACAGGCAAAGCAACATAATGTGTGTAAGTG